GGCACAGGGGGCCGGGATGGCGCGGGGGAGGCAGGGAGGTGAGGGGCCTGGGGGGCTGGGATGAGACAGGGGAGGTGGGGAGGTGAGGGGCACAGGGGCCGGGGTGGGCCGAGGCGGAGGTGGCTTTTTCCCCCTTGCTAAAGCCCAGCCTTGTCCTTGGCCTCGCTCTCCCCACCAACCTCCTGTCCAGCCCTCACTACCAGTTCCAGTGGCAGTTACCTGGTGACCGAGGGCACTGTGCCTCAGCTGGCAGCACGTCCTGGGGGCTGATGCGGTGTGGGTATAATCCACCCTTGCTTGAACTTAGCGTGGGCAGCATGCTGTCAGGTGTCCTGCTTGCTGCTGTTTCCAGGCAGTCTGTCCGATTGCTCCACTGTCTTTTCCCTTGGGGTTTCTTTCCCCTGTAGTGATGATTTTTGCCTCAACTGTTCAAAATTGGGCCCATTTAGGTGGGCGAGGTGGGGCTTTAAGCTGTTCTGCAAAAATTAATCTGTGAACCTTCATTCACAGAAGTTTCAAGAAGTCAGGCGGTCCCACCTCAGCAGTGTAGGCCGCAGCCATGTGTGCCGGGGCCTGGGAGGCCCTGGGCTGAGCTGCCTTCCCCACCCCAGGTGGCCCAGAGCGGCGAGATCCCGCCTTCCTGCTGCAACTTCCCCGTGGCCGTGTGCCGGGACAAGATGTTTGTGTTCTCAGGGCAGAGCGGAGCCAAGATAACCAACAACCTCTTCCAGTTTGAATTCAAGGACAAGACGTGAGTGCCCTGGTGGTGGGGCCTGCGGTCAGCGCCCCATGCCTGCATCTGGAGTTGTTCTTGCGAACTCCCACGTACCCAGGGCAGGCTGCCCTCACGGAGCAGCGATTTGTGGGTGCCTTCATACAGACTGGGCAAGAGGCCCCCGCAGGCCCCTTGGGTGTGACTGCAGCTCAGCAAGATAGGTCTTGGGCCAGTCCAACTCTTCGTCCAGTGTGAAGGACGCCCCCTGCCCCATGAATGGCCTAGCCAGTGCCACCGGTAACAAATGTGGCTGGCACAGATCTCATACAATGGCAGAAGACCGGAGCGGTGCACAGGCCCTGGGAGCTTCCAGCCTCTGCTTTCCTTGGCTGCTGGCCAGCCCCTGACCCCTGTGATGGGGACAGAGCCCTGGAGGTGGTATGGGCCAGGCTTTGGCTCGGGCAGTGAGTGGAGGGGAACAGGGAATTTTGGCTGCAGGTCAGGGAGGCTGGGGAGGGGACTTGGAGCTGCCCTAGAGGCCAGGGGTGTCAGCTGGGAAGGAGGAAGGGCAGGGCATCCCAGGCAGAGGGAACACCACTGACCCCTGCCCAGCTCTGCTGTCCCAGGATGGCCAGGCCTGGGAGGAGAGCCATACTGCACACAGGCCAGCTCTCTGTCCTGGCCTCGGTCTTCAGGATGGCGGGCAGCATGGAGAGCTTGGCACAGGTGGAGCAGACCTCTGGGGAGGTGAGGGGTGGGAGAAGTTGGGAAGCAGAGGCCAGGTGTGCCCAGATGTGGGGAGGGGTGGGGAGACACACAGGCTCTGGCCAGGTGGGCAGGTGGCTGTTCTGCGAGGGGGTCCTCAGGGAGGCACTGGCATTGGGAGAGGACACAGGGCCCGAAGGCTGCCCAGAGCTGTGGGGCCGCAGTAGAGGGCAGAGGGCTGTGGGGTGAGGGCCCAGCCCGGAGCTGGGGGCAGAGCTGCAGCTTGGGGCAGAGTGGACAGGTAGGAAGAAAACCGGGGGAGACGTGGCCACCGGCAGCAGCCCAGGACAGGTCTTGGGAGACCCTGGTGGCTGCTGGCAGCAGGAGGCCCTGTGGGGTGGAGCCAGTGTGGGGCCACCTTCCTCACAGGCCAGCGCCCCTCTGGTCCCCGAGGGAGCCTCCTGCCCAGCTCCCCCACACAGAGAGGTGGGAGCAAACACACCCTGGTCTTTTTTAGGCCATGTGTAGGTGGGCAGACCCTGTTGTGTGGACATCACATGGATGCCATCTCCCATGGGGCCACACAGAAGGCTGCAGGTGTGAGATGCTTAGCACTGGGGTTTCTTGCAGAGCACCCCACTCCACCTGGCCCCCAGATGGGCATTCTGGGCACTGGCCATCTGGAGGGGGGCTTTGCTCAGGCACATCTCCTGCATGCTGGACAACCTCCCTGTGGCAGCGGCAGCGTGGGCACCTCTCAAACCCAGTACATGCAGGGCACGGGGGCAGCACGGAGCAGATGGCACGGCCGTGCCTGCCCAGGACCTGTGTGGGTTCTTTGGCTGACTTAACAAAGAGAGGATTTGCTGGGAGCTGCTGGGAAGCCCGTGAAGGGTGGAGAGCACTGCAGGGGTAGCATCGGGACGTGGGGTTCTGGCAGCTCCTGGGGTGGGGACTTGGCCGTGGGGATCATCCCACATATCGGGGTGGTGGACATGTCAGTGCAAGACTCCATTCCCCAGAGAGTGCTCTGATGCCACCCCTCCCGCCCTGCTGCCTGCTCCGGCAGGACCCCATGGTGGGCTGCGTGGAGCCAGGCGAGCTGGTGCCAGGGCCAAATGGGGTGTGGGACACTGGGTACATGCTGGAGGCCCTCCCTTGGCCCGGACTGGCCTTGCCAGGGGCTGCAAAGCACTTCCCAGCCGGGGCCCACAGTGGGGGCCTCGGAGCCCTGGTGGGGGCTGTGGGGGAGCAGGAGCCCCCGCCCGGCACTGGCTCACTGTCCCATGCCCCCAGGTGGACACGCATCCCCACTGAGCACCTGCTCCGGGGCTCCCCGCCACCTCCGCAGCGGCGCTACGGGCACACCATGGTGGCCTTTGACCGCCACCTCTATGTGTTTGGGGGTGCAGCTGACAACACGCTGCCCAATGAGCTGCACTGCTATGACGTGGACTTCCAGACCTGGGAGGTCGTCCAGCCCAGCTCGGACAGCGAGGTGAGTGCTGCCAGGCCAAAGACGGTGGGCAGAGGGGGACCCAGGGTGTGTAGCCTGGGGGGGTCCTGATCCACCTGCTGCCACCTCCTCCCCAGCCCCTCACAGCCTCAGAGGGCTCCCAGGGCTCTAGACCACAGCAGCAGCAAGGCCAGGATGCCCGGGGTCCTCAGCCCTGGACACCTGCCCTGGCCCGACCCTGGGCCTGGGGTCCCTCTGGCCTGTTCTCCATCTTGCAGCCTGTGAGCTTTTAGCCTTCCACTTCCCATCAGGTCTGCACCGTGTAGAGGACGTTCTCCGGGACGCCTTTCAGGCCTGCTGCTAGTGCACTCCTGCTGTGGCTCTTCCCCCTCCCACACTTGTCCCCACAGCACTCTCGGGCAGGGGTGGCAGGAGGTCTCTGGTGCCTGCCCGACCCCTGCTGACTGGTCCCACACCTGCACGTCTCTCCCCACCAGGTGAGCGGGGCTGAGGTGCCAGAGCGAGCGTCTGCTTCCGAGGAGGCATCCGCCCTGGCCTCTGAGGAGCGGGGCGGCTTCAAGAAGTCCCGAGATGTGTTCGGCTTGGACTTTGGCACCACCACAGCCAAGCAGCCCGCCCCGCCAGCCTCAGAGGTGAGAGCTGGTGCCATTGTTACTGCTCTGTCATCGCCTGAAGCCGGTCCTGTGATTGGCTTCTCTCACAGATGGGGAGACCGAGGCTCAGAGAAGTATTTGTTGGGGTCACACAGCAAGTGAGGCGAGGGCCAGGAACCCATGCCCTGCTGGCCGGGCCACATTGGTGCTGCACGTGAGACCAGGCACTTGCTCTGTCCACTCCATGGGTCCACAGGGGCCTGTCCTGCCCACCACCCACACAGGTCCCACCTCCCACCCTGTGCTGCGCCTGGGGCCCTGCTCTCTGGTCCCTCCTTCAAGGCCATTGGTGCCATATCCTTGCCCACAGCCTGGCCAGCTCCAGGCCTCAGCCAGCCCTGCTGCTGGAGACCCCACCCCCTGAACCACCCTCCTGACTTGTCTCCCTCTTCACCCAGCTGCCCAGCGGAAGGCTCTTCCACGCGGCGGCCGTGATCTCGGACGCCATGTACATCTTCGGGGGCACTGTGGACAACAACATCCGCAGCGGGGAGATGTACAGGTTCCAGGTGGGGCTCCCGGCCTGCAGGGCAGGCGCTGCCACATGGCTGACTCTGCAGTGGGGCCCTGGGAGGGAAACTGCGGCTCAGTGGGTGGGGGCGGGGCCTGGCCGAGAGCATCCAGAGCTGGAGCTGCACCTGGTGGGACAGCAGCCTTTCTGAGGAGTCGGGCAGCTGGGATGGGGCCTCTAGGCTGAGGGCAGTCTGAGGAGCCTCAGTGCAGGGCGGGGTGTGGGGGCTCACAGCAGAGCCAGTGGAGGCCTGTGGGCTGGCCCAGGTCAGTGGAGGGAGCTGGGCTGAGCTGGGCTCGGCACCGGGGCCTCAAGGGCACCTGTGGCCTGGAGAGGGCAGAGCAAGGCCAGCAGTGGCTTCCCTCAGCAACATGGGGTCTCCTCCTGCAGTTCTCCTGTTACCCCAAGTGCACGTTGCACGAGGACTACGGGCGACTGTGGGAGAGCCGCCAGTTCTGCGACGTGGAGTTCGTGCTGGGTGAGGTGGGTGCCCTGCCTGTGCCCGGCCCCGCCTGTGAGCGGCTGGCAGCCCACTGGTGCCTGGAGTCCTGGGGTCCTGCCCCAGCTGGCTGGGCCTTGGCCCCCCTGGGTGAGGGTCCTGTGCCTTCCACCAAGGCAGTGTTCTCACTGCAGAAGGAGGAGTGCGTGCAGGGCCATGTGGCCATTGTCACGGCGCGGAGCCGCTGGCTCCGCAGGAAGATTGTGCAGGCGCGGGAGCGACTGGCCCAGGAGCGACTGGCCCAGGTGAGGTGCCTGCCCCAGCCCACCTGGCCCGGGCAGCAGCGGCATCCGTGGGGCACCCTTGAACTCCCCACCTCTCCCCACAGAAGCTGGAAGAGGAGGCAGCCCCAGCTCCCAGGGAGGCCCCTGGTACAGCTGTGGGTGGGGTCCGGCTGCCCCTGCTGCACGTGGCTATCCGCGAGGCCGAGGCCCGGCCCTTTGAGGTCCTCATGCAGTTCCTCTACACCGACAAGATCAAATACCCTCGGAAAGGTCCGCCTGGGGTGGTGATGGAACGGGAATGGGCTGGGGTTGGAGCAGCCCTGCTTAGCAGGTGAGCAGTCTGAGGCTCAGACTGATCATGCAATCACTCATGATCACCTGCGTATGGCTGAGCCGCTGCTTGGGACTCCCAAGGCCTTGTGCTGGCCTGTCGGCCCCAACCTATCCTCATCCGTGGAGGGAGCCCTGGGCCCTATCCTCCCCTCCCCGTCCCCTGCTCCCTCTCCCTGTGGTCCAAGGCTCAGGGAGCTCTTGGCTCAGGCCACGTGGAGGACGTGCTGCTCATCATGGACGTGTACAAGTTGGCACTGAGCTTCCAGCTGTGCCGCCTGGAGCAGCTGTGCCGGCAGTACATCGAGGCCTCCGTAGACCTGCAGAACGTACTGGTTGTGTGCGAGAGCGCCGCCAGGCTGCAGCTGGGCCAGCTCAAGGTGCGGGGCAGGGGTGGCGCGGCAGCCCACCCACCCACTGCTGCAAGCCGCTTGCCTGGCCTGGTGCCTTGTCCAGGGCCGAGGCCTGACCCCACCCGCCTGCCCTGGCCTGTCTGTCCCAGGAGCACTGCCTGAACTTCGTGGTGAAGGAGTCCCACTTCAACCAGGTGATCATGATGAAGGAGTTCGAGCGCCTTTCGTCCCCACTGATTGTGGAGATCGTGCGTCGGAAGCAGCAGCCACCCCCCCGCGCACCCTCAGACCAGCCTGTGGACATTGGTAGGGAGCCCCGGTCCCCTTCCCTGAGAGCGGCTGGGGCAGGGCAGCATTCATCTTGGTTGGAGACTTGGGAGCCAGGGAAGCAGCCGCCAGGCCCTCAGGGAGGAGGGTGGGTGTGGGGGGTCCCCAGAGTGCTCCCCTGGGCACGGGGACAGGGGTAGACAGGGAGGCAGTTCAGACTCAGTGAAAGCAAGAAACCCCGATGCACCAGGCTTTCCACTGCAGGCTGTGCCCTCGAGGGCGGGGAACCTCCCGAGCCTGCTCTTGGAGGTGGACATGGGGCACCTCTCTGGGCGGGTGCCTGCTCTGGCTGGGCCGTCAGGGCCGAGGGCTTCTGAAGGGAGTGACTGCTCAGGGTCGTGGGGAGGAGTCGCTGAGCTTCTCTTAGGCACACCCTCTGTCTGGGGCCTAGTGAGGGTGAGCACAGCCCGCCAACCTCACACGGTCCTGGCACCTGCCTGTCCCCACCCAGCCTGGGAAGGGACGTCACAGATTCCTTCACCCCCCGACTCTCCCTGGAGCCTGTGCTGCCTCTGGCCACTGGCTCCAGGAGACACATGGTGGGCGCACAAGGTGTGTCAGGCCCAGGAGGGCTCAGTGGGCTGATGTGGGAAAACATCAGACTGTGAGGGGCAGTGTTTAGGGCTGAGGAGAGAAGACAACAGGACCTGGTGGTGCCTCGAGGGCCAGAGTGAGGCCTCTGGCCTGTGGGTGGGAGCTTTGTTCAGGTGGCAACAAGGGCATATGTGCAGGAGGCGGTGCCCGTGGGGTGCCGAGTCAGAAGCTGCCCTCTGGCTCAGGATCTGGTAGGAGGTGGGAGGTGCCGGCTCAGGTCCCTCCACAACCCCCCAGGAACGTCTCTGATCCAGGACATGAAGGCGTACCTGGAGGGGGCAGGCGCGGAGTTCTGTGACATCACGCTGCTGCTGGACGGGCACCCACGGCCAGCCCACAAAGCCATCCTGGCCGCCCGCTCCAGGTGGGTGGGGGATAAGGCCGCTGGGCAGGGCAGGCCCAGGTGCTGGCTGCGCCCACTGAGAGCTGGGCCTCCATCACCCTCTGTCTGCAGCTACTTTGAGGCCATGTTCCGGTCCTTCATGCCCGAGGACGGACAGGTGAACATCTCCATCGGGGAGATGGTGCCTAGCAGGCAGGCCTTCGAGTCCATGCTGCGTTACATCTACTATGGCGAGGTCAACATGCCGCCCGAGGACTCGCTGTATCCTTGCCTCCGAGGCTGCTCCCAGGTCACAACTGGGGGTCCTGTGCCCACCTTGGGCGGCTCTGGGGCCCAGCTGGCCGGTCCTGGCTGGGCGGTTTCCCCAGGGTTTCCTGGTGCCAGGTGCTCTCCCAGGGTCCTCTGAAGCAGTTGGTCGGTTGGCACGCAGGGGTTTGCAGCCAAGAGGGATGGGTGGGTTGTTGATCCTCACGACTGCCCAGGGGAAGGGGTCAGTCATCGCTCTGTGTGCCAGGCAAGCAGACTCGTGGAGTGATTCCTGGTCATGTCACTTCAGTGGCCTCTGAACGTGGTGGGTGAGGAGGCCCTGGGGGGCTCTTTGAGGCCGCCGGTAGTTCTGCAAGTGTGCTGTGGCTGTTTTCCTGGGGAGAGGGTCCTCTGGTTTTCTCTGGATCTTGACTGGGGCCTTTGACCCCTAAGTGGTTCAGAGTCCATGTAGAGAGCAAGTCAGTGTCCTGCCTGGATTGGGGCCCTGGCCCCTGACTCCCCATGGAGCCCCGTGCCTGTCCCTTGTGGTGGGGCGGGTCGCCCTGGTTCTGAGCAAGCAGGAGGAGGCAGCCACGATCTCAGGTTTGCTCTGCCCCCAGTGGTCGTGGGGCTCCAGCTGCACCATCCCTGGGAGGAGGGCAGGTCCGCCTCCCTGGGCGGGAGGACGAGCTCCTTTGGCCGGCAGCTCCTTAACCAGCCCCCAGCTACCTGTTCGCGGCCCCCTACTACTACGGCTTCTACAACAACCGGCTGCAGGCGTACTGCAAGCAGAACCTGGAGATGAACGTGACGGTGCAGAACGTGCTGCAGGTAGATCACCTCGCGCCCGTGGGCCTCCTGGCACCTGGGCAGGTTGGTGGGAGGTGGGGCAGCACCTCAGGGAACCTGCCGTTCCAGATCCTGGAGGCGGCTGACAAGACACAGGCGCTGGACATGAAGCGGCACTGCCTGCACATCATCGTGCACCAGTTCACCAAGGTCAGGGCCCTCTCGCCCGGTGCGCACCACCCACTCTCATCTTCAGGACCCACTTCCCCTTGGCAGTGGCCTTGGCCAGGTTGGGGGGTAGCTGGAATCTGGCCATCTTCTGCAGCAGTGGGCCCTGGGGATAACAGACAGAGCCACCCACCCACTGGCCATTCCTCACCCCGCCCTCAGAGCCAGCCCGGGCCCTGAGCTGGTTGAGCCCCCAGAAGACTCCGTAGCCCACCCTGGCCCTCATGAGAATCCGGTTCCATCGAGTTTTGGCCTTTTGGTTGCCTCCGCAGGTCTCTAAGCTGCCCACACTGCGCTCCCTGAGCCAGCAGCTGCTGCTGGACATCATCGACTCCCTGGCCTCCCACATCTCCGACAAGCAGTGCGCTGAGCTGGGCGCCGACATATGAGGGCCCACGCGGTGCCAGCCCATGCGCGGAAGATGACCATACCTGCCCATTGCAGACTGCACTAGCCACACTCAGGCCTGCTGGCTGAGGGGCAGGGGGCCCAGAGCCTCCGAAGAGAGCTGTGGGGATGTGGGGGGCTCTGAACGCCCCATTTCACTGCTGAGGACACAGGTCCCACAGGGAAGCAGGCACCCTAGCCAACACTCTCTGCTGGGTGGATGTGTGGGTGGGAAGCCAGGACTCCGGGATGAGGACATGGCTGGAGGAGGCAGGGGTCCTGGCCAGGGCCCAGCAGTGGGGAGAGTTGAGCCCACCAGGGAGCTGGTTTTGGGTCCCCCACCCGCCAGGAGCCTGGCATGCCTTATGGATCTGGCCACTGGGTCCTTGCCAAGGCCCCTCTGACATGGGGGCTGCACAGCACCCTTCACCCTCACCCAGGTTGATGTAAGGGGCTCCTTCTGCCACCTGGAGCTTGTGCTTGGGCAACAGTGATGGGCAGATGAAGTCTGACTCAAGGTGAATTTTGGGGTGTGAAGGGCCCTGAGGTCAGCTCCTAGCCCGTGGGGTCAGCCACTCTGGACTGGGCCTGGCTTCCAGAAGGGCTGCAGGATCCCACTGCCCTGTGTGCTCATCGGGGCCCAGTGTGGGCCAGGGAGAAGTCAGTGGAGCTGCCCCCCAAGTCCCCATCTGTCCCCACGTATTTATTCTGTCATAGATGCGCCTCCATTAAAGCCACAGCATTGCTACCTACTACACACACCTTGCCGGCATAGTCCCCAGTGGCAAAGCTGAAGACCTTCCCAGAGCTGAGGACTGGCAATGCGGCCCGCCTGCTTGGGATCACCCAGTCTTGTCCAGTTCTCTATCCATGTGGGCAACTCCCTGCCCCCACCTGAGGCAACTCAACCATGTGCAGGGAGGGCTGTGGGAAGAATCCAGGCAGACCCCTCCCCTTCTGAGGGGAACCCTGGGGGCCCGGAGCCTGCTCTCCTGCACTGCACCGTAGTCTTCCGCCTGGACTGGGAAGCTGGGATAGACCACTGTGTCCTTCTCTGTGCCCCGACAGAAAGCCCTGTGTGAGTCCACCCCAATGCAGAAGCCACTGGTTTGCGTCCTTTCTGGGAACAGAACCCCAGGGACCCTTCTGTCCTGGCTGCCAGGAAGCCACTTTGGGGGCAATGATCTCTTCCTGATCTTAGAGCTCCATTCCTTCCTCTGGTTGTGCCCCACACAAACGTGGCATGCTCCTCCTCAGCCCTTGCTGAAGAGCCCCAGGTGCTCTGTGCAGGTGGATGGGGAGCCCCAGTGGCAGGTGGGTACCCCAGGCAAGGGGAGCCCATCCATAAGGGCACCAGCAAGCTAGGAAGTAGCCCAGTGCAAGACGAACCTCAGGGAGCCTGGAGACCTCAGCGAACCACCTGCAAACCCTGCTGTCCAGCACAGCTTTTGACCCGTCACTGGAGTCTCTGCTCCAGACATGAATAAATGAAGTTACACACCAAAGGCCCTGACAAGCAAATTTCAGGACATTGTGTGGCAGTTTCCAGGACTAGAGAGAATTCAGCTGCACTTCTGGGGCTGCTGTGGCCAAGGCCCAGGAGAGAGTGGTCACATATGCGGCTAAAATCGCCCCCCACACTGAGCTGTTGGCCACAATCACAGATGCAGGGAGGCCTTACAGATTCTAATCAAGGTGAAGAAAAATGGGGACATAAGTTGAGGCCAGACCTGCTGCCTCCATGCTTCCCCGACCTCTCTCCCCAGACCTCAGGGGACTAGAAAGGTCATTTGTCAGGCCCTCACTACTCGTCAAGCATAGCAGCCCCAAGAAGTCACAAATCATCATCCTTGTCCGTTTCTCAGATCAGACAGGCCCAGTGGTGGGGGGGGCTGGCCTGCAGCCAGGGCTCAGGCACTGTGCCAGGTCTGCTAACTTCTGGGCAGACGGCCTGGGGATGGAAGTCTGTTGTGTCCCCTCAAAGGAACTGAGTCTGCCTGGGTTTTGCGAGTGTTTTCAAATGGGCAAGCTGGCTAAGTCAGGCTGTCTCAGGTGCCAAGGAGAGGATGCTTGGTGCTGCCCCCTGGCCTCTACTCACACCACCCTGTTCCTCGGAGAACCCTGTGGGGCATGGTGCTACACGGGGAAGGGTGGGCAAGAGCTGGGCTTTCCGTTCTCCACAATCAAGAGCCTGGACTTCAGGGTCTGAGCCCTTCAGGGGCTGCAGCCAGTCCGGGGAAACCAGCCCAGTACCCAGGGGAGGGGTCCCACCCCCAGTTGAGCCAGATAGCAGGGCCTCTAGAATCCTCTTTATTATGGTGTCTGGCGGGTCTGGTGGAGGCAGCTCAGATCAGGTCCCTTTCCAAGTGGATTCTGAGGAAAGAGGGGGCGAAGCCCTGATGGGAGCCTCTAAGTCAGCTGGGGTCCGGCAGCCTTTCTCTCAGGCCATACTGCTGCTCAGCTGCATGGCAAAGTCCTGCACGTGCTCCTTTAGAGTCTGGCGAGCATCCGCCTGTGCCCGCTTCTCCCGTGCCCGCTCCTGCTGCAGCTTGGTCAGCCGCAGCCGCAGCCGCTGCTCCCGCCGCTTACAGGCCTGCAGCTGGCGCTGGGCCTTGTCCAGGGCATCAAGTGCAGCCTCAGCCCGCCGCTTCCAGAGTAGGGCACTGCCCACCTGGTAGCTGTGCTCATTCTGGATGTAGGCTCCAGCGGGTGGTGGGAGGCGCAGCATGTAGGCTGAGGGTGAGACAGGCCGTGGCTCCAGAGGGGATGGCTGCCGCTCTGGCTCCTGCTCCGGTGAGGGCTGGGCACTGCAGCCCGCTTCATCTGCCTGGGCACCCAAGGGCCCCAGGAGGTCTGAGAAGGGGCTGCTGAGGCCAGGCTCCAGCCTCCCAGCATGGGAAGCAGGCAAAGCAGCAGGGGCTGAGGCCTCTTCCACAGGAAAGCAGGTGACATCACCAGGTGGAGGTGGAGAAAATGGAGTCGTGGGTCCTCGGCCCTCAGAGCAGCTACGGGGGAGACAGAGAGAGACTGACAAGCCAGACTAAGGGCTTGCCAGACCCCACCTCTCCAGCCCACTTGACCACCCCTATCCCAGAATTCACTGCCCCAGCTCAGAACCCTGTCCAGCAAGGCTTCTGGCAGACACCCCACAGCCAGTTCCTGAGACTTGGGGTGGAAGTGGGGCACCCCCCAGCCACAGCACATACCGCTTCCTGCATCGCCGGAGCCGGCTGACGTCTGTGGGGCCAGGCGGGTAACTGTGCCCCTTGGTCTTGGCTGTCTGGCGCAACTTGGAGAAAGACTCAAATATCGTGGGAACTGCCCCCTCCTTCAGCCTGTGATACCCACTGTGGGGGAAAAGCAGCCTGCGTGAGATGGAGAACAAGCACTGCCACCCCAGGCTGACCTGAACAGGCGCGGGGCCAGCACGTCCCCCAGCACCCCGGAGCAGGCTCCCCAGTGCTACCACTGTGGGAGGTGGGAAGGCATACCACAAACAATTAGTTTGGGGAATGCCAAGTTTAGTAGAGTTACACCAATCTCTTGGTGTAGGACTCCTCAAAGTTAAGGTGTGTGGAAAGGCTCCACCAGAACTGGGTTGACCAGCCAAAAAATTACTTCATTTGTGAACCTGCTGGGAGGCCTGGGGTTCTAAGGAACACTCTCTGGAAAAGCTGATGTTTTTCTCTTGAGTCACTAGCACAGTGATTCTGAGGGGCTGGGTCTGACTGTCCTCGTCTGTCAGAAGAAGAAACTGTGCTACAGAGCTGGGAAGAAGCAGCCACCCTGGAACCAGGTCTGCTTGTCTGCCTGTCCCAGTGCTAGCTGCCTTTGGGACCTCCTCGTCGGGCCCTACAGCTGCGCCAATCAGCCCACTACTCCGATGCCCCACAATCTGCCCCAGTGCAGGCTGGCAAGGAGGCTCACCTGATTCCCACCAGCTCAAAGCAGTTCTCCTCGAAGTGTTTGGAGCAGAAGTAGATGTACTCGGACGCCGGGTCCCACAGGCCCTGGCCGCTGGGGTCCAGCCGCTGGCAGTTGGCCAGCCACAAGCCTCGCCTTGGGTTGTCCTTCTTGGGAAGTCTGCAGAGCCACAAACCTGTGAGCACCTGGGCAGCCCCGCGCTCATGATCCCCGAGCTCCCCGGACGGGAAGCGCTGGCCCTGTCCATGCCGCCACGAGACCTCCCTTCCACGCTACCGGGGAAGCACCGCCCGCCCGGGCGCAGTCGAGGAAACTGAGGCCTCAAAAGAGAAACCTGCTCAGCGTCGATTAGCAAATTAAGAGTCCGAAAGGTTCCAAGGCCGGTGGACCTCCCGTCCTCCCTTTCCCTTCTAGGTTCGATCTCACCTGGACCGCCTCCTCACCTTCCTCCACCCACAAACTCAAGCCTCGGCTTAACAGAAAGGCGTACGCGCGCTCGCGACTCCATGAGCTGAGCAAAACGAGAGCATGCGCACGAGAATCTTGGCGCGCCAGCACGCACGCGCGCTGACCTGTGGAAGGAGATGCCGCGGTTGCGCGTCTCGCGCGTGTCCCGTGTGCAGCAGCCGGCGGCGGAGCAGTGACGCGGCATCTGGGGAAAAGGCGGGAGCTTGCTCGCGGGCGGCTGTCCGGGCCCAGAGGGGCCGCGCGCCCCCAGCTGCCGCTCCGTTCCAGGCGGCCCGGGCCTGCTGGGTCTTCCTCGGCCTGATCTTGCCCGAACCCCGACCCAGCCCGTTCTCCTGCCTCCCGTCAGCGTCACTCACGGTCTCGCCATTGCTGCGCCGCAGAAGTCTCGCGAGGTGCAACGCGCGGCGGAAATTGGCACCATAGAGACTCGGAAGCGCCAGGCGCTCGCCTCAGGGGCGGGGAGCCGGAAGCAGGCTGTCGCAGCTGGGCGCGTGCCGTCCCAGGGGCCCTGGACGTCTGCGCTGTCGCACACGTGGGCCCGTCTCCTTTGTCCCTTCGGGGGTAACTTTCGGCCGTCAACACCACGGCACCTGGGGAACAGCTCGGCTCGGCGGCAGGAAACCGGCAGTGCCGCAGGAGCCTCGCAGGCCGCCGGGCAGGTGCCAGCTGCGAAGAAGGAAACTCCCACGACGAGAAACAGGGGACGGGACTCGTGGTCAAAAGACCCTGACAAAAACCAGGGCTCGCCGCTCACTCCGGGAGAGGTGCCTCTGATGGAAGCGCGGGCAGGGCACTGATGACGTTGTGGGGCAGTGGGACGGGCACACAGGGAGGAGCTCAGGGCCTTAGTAGTGGGAAAGGATCGTCAGGGGTTGGGTTTGCGCTGCGGCTGCCTACCAGGCCCCGCCCACCAGAGAGAGTGAAGTCAGTCACTCCGCGACTGAGGAAGAACACATCTGATTACTGTTCCGTTCTCCGCAGAACGTCAAGTGTGGGTGGTGGATTTATGAGTGTTTAAATTTGTAATAATCAAAGCATTTTTTCGTAATTCCCTCACCCATGCCTTTTGAAGTCTGTTTTCTGGGAATAATGCAGTAACCAAATAGAAATGCTTAACTTTTTCTGTCTGAGATGAAACAGATGTTTTTTCCCTAGAAATCCACTTATAAAAGGCAGCTATCTGGACAGGGAATTTTGTCCCAGGGCAGCAGAAGAGAGACCATGCCTCAACACAGAAACTTTAATAGGTGAGCACAGCTGTAACATCATAGGGGGGGAGAGTACAAAGGGCGTGGCCGCCAGCACACACTCAGTACTCTTCCCCTTCTTCGGCCTCTGCTTCCACGGAATCCACGCCCAC